CCCCAGCCTAAGCCCAGCACATCTGCAGACAAACAGAGCCTAGATGAGCCTCCTGCTGCTCCAGCATCTCCCTCTCGCTCCCTCCATAGCCTGAATATTTCTCTCGGCCCCACATCTGCCTAAGGCCCCTCTGCCCTATGAAACTGGCAGCAATAATCAAAAGAGATGTGCCCAACTGACTCAGAGCTAAATGTCCAGGCCACCGCCGCTGCCGCCCCTCTCCCTGCCCAGAGGTGCCTCTGTGTGAACAATAAACATTTGCAGCTTGATCAGAACTCCTGTCTTGCTGTTATCCCTCGTGTCTCTTGTCCCTTCATTCCTCCCCACCTAGTTTCGCCGCCCCCTTTGATGTCCTGCTGGTCGGGACAAGCCATCTCGCCACAAAGCCAGGAAAAGATAATTTCGGCTTTACTATAAATTACTGCAAATTCTGAACCTGCTTGGAATGCCTGCCCGTGCCTTGAACTCACCCATGCCTGGCTCTCTGACCAGATAGCAGCCCTCTCTGAAACTTTAGTGACGCCTCATCAATCTTGGCCTTCCCTGGCCAGACAACGACCCTCTCTGAGACTCTAATGGTCCTCATAAACTCTGATGTTGGGGCCAGCAAAAATGTAAACTACCATTAGTGTGATGCTTGTCAGAGTTCTGTTACCTGTAACCCCCCTTTGTGTAATTTTCTGGGCTATAAAGCTGGGCTGAGGAAAGCTGTGGGCTGATCTTGTTCACGCGGTTTGGGGAGGGAGAGGCAGCCCGGCCGGTCGAAATAATAAGCTTGCTTTAATTTGATTTTAATTGGAGTCAGTGGTCTTTTCTTGCGTCCTGGTCTAACAGACTCGTGCCACACCTTGTCTCTCAGCTACATGTCAGGCGAGTGGCTCCTGTAAGTCCGGAATCCCCAAGGCTGGGGCAGACAGCAGCAAGTCCCCGAGCTTTTGAAAAGACTTGTTTCCCTGTTCAATCAAGAGGTTCACAGGCAGGACCCCGAAGAACCTCACAGAGTGGCGTGACTGTGAGTCCAAAACCAGGAATCCCAGTTTCACAAGATCCAGCCATTCCTAGGAAGGCCCTGAACTGTCTCTTGGTCTGGGATGGTTGGTTATTTTTCTTTTAGGTGGTTCTATTTTTTAAAGGACTCTTTCTTTTCAGGGGTGAGAGTTTCTTTGGGGGTCAGGATATGAACTATTTGACCTTTTTGTTGGAAGATCTGGGCTTTTGTGGTGATACCATTATCCTGAGGGCCCAAGAAAGTGAGAACCTAACAGTATTTGTCAGAATCCTGTGTCGTAGGGCTGCCTTACCTAGAATAAGGACCTAGAATAATTCCATATCAAAGGATTGTGAGGGGCTGGGTTGTGGCTCAGTGTAGAACACTTGCCTAGCACACGTGAGGTCCTGGGTTTGATCCTCAGCACCACATAAAGATAAATAAATAAGATAAAGGTATTGTGTCCAACTACAACTAAAAAATATTTTAAAAAAATGATCATGAAACCCATTGTTTCAATATGTGAGGGAAGAAAACATGGTAAGACGCTGTCAGAACGTAGAAGTATGGAGCATATGTTCATGAAGGAGGCATTGAAGCTTTAGGTTTGAAGGACAAAGAATAATCTCCTTGTGACCATGTGCTCTCTGCCTGGGAACTGACATGTCTTGTGATTACTGAAACTCTCAAAAGCAATGGAACCACCACTGACCCATCCAGTCTGAGACAAATCCTAAGTATCTCAGAAACTCAGTGTTAGGTCGGTGGCGGTGACTTAGTGAGAAAAGAACATCAATCAGATGCCAGCAGAAATGCCTGTCAATCAGCCAGATCTCCTGACTAACATCTGTCAATCAGCAGGACCCCTGGCCAATCCTGGAGTTCAGCCAACTCCTCTGACCAACTCCAAGGGGGCAAGGGATCCTACCTTTTCCTGTCCTGAGCCCTTCCCTTCCTGCTGTAAGCCCCATAAAAGTCCAGTCCAATCGAGCTTCCACACGGTTTCTCCTCAGACCCTTCCTCTGTGGGTCTGATCGAGTTCTGCAGGGGAGTGATATCTCAATAAAGCTTGTTCAGCAGCCCTTTTAAATCTGCCTCCTTTGGTCGCTGCCTGCCTTGTCTGATCTGACACTCAGGATCTCTTTCAAAAACTCAGAGCAGCTCCAAATTAAGCCCCTTGAGTCCCTCTCACATGCCTCGAAGTGTATGACTGTTTGAAACAGCCTCACAGGATAGATGGTGACACTTTCTTTGCTGTTCTCCGCCACTGTCACCCACCTGCTCACTGAAGGTGCACACAGACTGTTACACTACTGGGTCTTAGTGCAGGGGTTCTGAGGTTTTCTAAGACCCTGGGATCTCTTGTGTTTTGTGTGCTAATGAGATGACGGTTGGCTGGGGACTCCTGGGTAGCCTCAGGGTTGGGAACTTGTGGTAGTAGAAAGAACAAGGCAGCCTAGAAGGAAGTTTTAAAAATAATCACTTTTACTTGTGATTGACAAGAGGGTTGGAATGTGGAATGCCACCCACTGGAGCTCTAGGCAGGGAGGAAGGTTACAATCTAGTTAAATATGAAGGTCCAAAGAGCTAATCAGCATGGGAACACTGGAAACTCCCCAGTGATGAGGAAGAAGAACATCTGGGCGGTTGGAATAGAGGGGTTGAGATGCTTGAGGCTGGACCCAGCAGACAGATGAACGCCTGCCCCCCAGTCACCTGCCCCCACACCTCGCCCTACGCACCTCTTGCAATTGGTTGTTCCTGGGTTGTACCTCTAATCCTAAATTGGTGGGTCACAGAAGTTGAGGTGGAAAACTATGTCACCATTATCCCCATGACCAAGTCACTATCCCAAGAGGAGACCAGAGGATAGGCAAAACCAAGCAGGATCATGAGCTCAGTACAAGACAAGTGGTGGCAAATGACCTTATAGTGGTCACAGCCAATAGGCATAATCAAATTCGTAAGGGATTTTAACAGGATCTTGCAACCATTTGGTAAAATTAAAACTTTTCTTGTATTTTTGACATTTATAAGGTTTTAGTTCAGTGTGCATTTTTACATGTGAGCCAACTGAAAACACATTTTGCATCTCTTTTTTCTTTAACTGGGGAATGAAGATAGGGGCACTTTACCACTAAGCTACATCCCTAGTCCTTTTTATTTTGAGACAGAATCTTGCGCCCAGTTTCTGAGGCAGGACTCAAACTTGTACTCTTCTTGCCTCAGCCTCCTGGGTAGCAGGTATTTTAGACATGCACCACTGTGCCCAGCTAAAAAACTGTAATTTGAAAACTTGTTTGATCGATCCTAAGTGTCCATATTTAAGAGGTAAAATGTGATGTTTTCATGCATACAGACTTCAGATCTGTTAAATCTGCGGTAACTATATCTCCTCAAACCTTTTGTTCTTTGTAGTAAGAACATTCAAAACCCCTTTTCTAGATTTTTTTAAAAATATACATATCATAATCTACAGTCGCCCAACTGTACTAGAGAACACTTTCAGGTGGTGGACATTAGGGTGTCATTGTACAGAAAATGAGGGCCCCTGTGCTTGAGGCAGATGAAAGAGACAGAGTCGTACACAAGATCACCACCGTGAGGTGGGAAACCCAGCAGAAGGGATCCTCAAGATGGTGGTACAATGAAGACGTAGGAGAGATCATGAGGAATCAGTGGCCTATCAGGAGGAGTCACACACTGGTGTCACAGCCACAGTGACTGGCTATCTCCTCCCCATAGGTGAATACCAACCTGGAAAACCTGTGGGAGAGAAAATGGTGCATCACATTAGAGTAAAAGGTGAGGTGAGAAACTACAAATGTAATCATCATCTCCTAGAACCAGGCCACAAGATGGGCACATTTTGTGACAAGAGGTAGCAGACAGCCAGCCCCACAGTGATCACACTCGCATCCCGTGATCATGAGCAAGGAGGAGTGGAGCTCATGTGAAGAATATTATTATCTGGTTAACCAGGTTTAAAAGCTGTTGGAGCAATGATGGAAAACAGGTCGGCCACCAGGCAAGGGGTGATGACAACACATAACAGACGGTCTCCAGCAGAGCACACAGTAGGTACAGCAGGAAGAGAGCTGAAGTAGTTGCTTTAAGAAGGATGGGAAACCTGAGGACAAATTCAGACATGGTGCTATAGTTCTGACCCTAATAAGGAAGAAAATGAAGGGACAGAAGTGAAAATTCAAAGGCAATTTGAGAGCTCTGTAATATTGAACCATTTGCTGAACTTTCCTAGGTCACTGTCTTTGTCTGTAAAGCATACAAAATAGTTCTTTCGTTGTCATGAAGGGGGGAAAAGGGCAATAAATAAGGAAAGAACTGTGTATCATCCAATGAGGTTCAAAAGCTCCAAGTTGGAAACCCTGTGGAATCAAACCTGACTCTGAAGTCTATCAGAGAACAAGACACAAACATTTAAATGACTAACTTGAGCTACATAACTGAGCAGAGTTACTGAACCCCTTGGCCCTGGAACAAGGCCTCCCATACTCATAACCCCTGTAGTCTCAGAAGGGTACTGTCCCAAGTATAACCCACAGGAAGGGTCACCTGGTGCACAGAATCACCTGCAAAATGAAGAAGACTGTTGCTGGACACGAGGAAGAAATACCTGCCTTCGGAAGAGCACATTTATGAGCTGCACAGAAAGCCTTCTGACCAAGTCCCCTACTCAGTCTCTCTGAAGATGACTCATGCACAAGTGCTGAGCAAATATTACACAGTACATGAATGCACCTAGCTCTAATCTGCCTCTCCAAGTTATAAGGGAAACAAATATGGCAATTACGGAAGTGAGAAACACCTGGACCAGGGTCTCTGAAGGTTAGCACCAGTGATATATGGAGCTGAATAATCCTTTCAGGTGGGCAAGCACACCATTTAGCAGCATCCTTGGCATTAACTCACTAGATAAATTCCCTTAATTTCCCAACGTAATGAGAACAAGAAATGTTTAGAGAATTACTGTGGAGTGAGAATCACCAAGTTAGAAGCTAAAATGGGCACCTAAGCTGGGTAAAGACAAGGGGTGGGGATGGGGGGAAGAAGAAACCAAAGACTTCCTCAGAGAGCCTCCCACACTGGAAGATTCTGGCTTTTTCTCCCTTCTCTGCAATGCTGCACCCCAACACCAGACACTGAATAGCTCTAAGTGCAAATGTTCCATGCTGTCTGGTGCTATCACCTTCCTGTTCCCCCTCTACCTGGACTGCATTTCCAAGAAGGAGCCAGTTAGAGAAGGCCTAGGCGGCTCCCTGCTCAATGCTTTCATGGTGCATGCCCACGCTGTGCAGGAACCAGACCAAGGAGTACTTTAAACTAAAGCTCTGTCCTGTCTGCTGTGTCCTTCCCCACAGGACATTTTGATGGGCCTCTGCAGGAGGCCAAATTGGATGGGCTGTCTCAGGGTCTGCAGAATCAAGCAGAGACTTGGGTGCCTTCAATCTCCACTCCCTTTCCCAGCCCATAACAAAGGCTTCCTGCAGCATCTCTCTGCACAGAAAGGCCTTGGCTTGAGGAGCTCCCTGCAGTCTCATGTGGTCAAGGTGGGGTCGGAGGGAGGACAGGAGCTGGGGGAGCCAAGAGTGTGAAGTCAGGCCTTTGCCTTGCAGTAAAGGCAGTTGGCGGGCTTTCAGAAGGGGGCAATTTAGATCTGGTTATGAAAGAGTGGTTACTCTTAAATGTAGGTGCTCAGTGTCTTCTGGTCAAGTTGGAGGAAGTTCCAGTTCTCACATGAGTGACCCGGGCACCTCCTATTTCATTGTTTTGTGCTCCAGGCCAAGCTCTTTGGGTCTGTCATGGCAGAGGCAGCACTAAAGGTGTCCAAAAGAGCTTGAGAGTCTTTCACCCATTTTCTCAATGATAGCAGCACATGGTTTCCTTCTATCCACATTTATTTTCTCATTAAATGGTCACTTGGTTTGATAGTTTTCCATCTCTATGACAAAAAACTAAAATAAACAACTGGAAGGAGGGAAAGTTTAGTTTAGCTCAGTTTCAGGGATGTCAGTCCTGACATTTGGCTCTGTCATTTCAGTCACTGATAACAGAACACAGCATGGCAGGGAGTTTCTCACCTCATGGTGGCTCAGAAGCAAAAAGTGAGGAAGAGGCTGGTGTTCCAACATCTCCCACATCTCAGATGTCCAGTTTCTCCAAGGAGGCCCCACCTCTTAAGAGAACTGCCACCTCCAAATAGAACCACTAGCTTGTGTTGGGTGTGGTGGTACACACCTGTAATTCCAATGGTTCAGAGGCTGAGGCACTAAGCAACTTAGTGAGATCCTGTCTCCAGATTTAAAAAAAAGGGGGAGTGGGGGCTGGAAATGTTACTCAGTGTTAAGCACCTCTGGGTTCAATCTGTGGTACCAAAAAAAAAAAGAACTAAAAACATTAATTTTGGTAGTCAATAATTACAAATTTATTCTTTCTCTTTTCTGCTAAATAATTCTAATCCATCTCTGAGCAAACAGATGACTTTGTCAACAAGGAGGTCAAATGCAATGAAATGTGAAATAAAGCAGCATACAGATATTAGAAAAAAAGGTAAGAAACAATATCTATTTTTGGTGGTCTTTGATTTCTTCYGATTTTTGTTTCTTCCTTGGTACTGGTAAAAATATCTTATACACCAATTATGATTTGTAGTCCAAATCTAACRAACTGAATTTGCAAAGCCTTTCAGCTAAGAATTATTTTTACAGAACATATCTGTAATTAGTGTGACAGAAATTCTTAACTTTTAATACCCAGTTAACTGAATTATTATTCCATCTATAAAGAATTTTCTTATTAGATCTGTATCCCAAAATATATATTATCACTACATTTTGAATTTTGCCAATAAGTTTTTGTGAAAATACAAAATCAAAAGAAAATGTTAATCTACAAGAAAGTCTTTCTAAAAAATGTAGAACCCCAGTACCAAAAAAACAAAAACAAAAAACCTCTAAAACCACCTTACTTTTCAGTAGCCTTTTAACCACAATTATTTAAAAACTGCATAAAAGTTAGGCCTATGGCACATTTGAAACACARTTTAATTCACCTATGGATCCACAACATGGTTCAAGTTCAAAGGACAAAAACTCATTTGACTGAAAGACAACTACATATATAAACTCTCATGCTATTGCCTAAATGAAACTTGCAGAGATATGTTTCTCAACATTTATTTTTAAGAATATAAATTAGAAATCTAGACTGTAGAGATCTACTTTCAGAATGAGCCACTTATGAACATAATATATTTATAAGTTTTAGTATGTTTCCTACAGTGAATTCTCTAGAGAATGCTAAACAAATTATATCAAGCTCTTCATATTAATTACACTTATAGGGTTCCACTACCTGAGAAATTTTCACAGGACATTGAAATTATTAAAACTGAAAACGATCTTGTATTTTTCACAGAGTTTGATCCTGTGCATATGTAGGCCAACTTAATCTTTTTGCATTTCTCTTCTATTCTAGGCTTCTCTCCATACTGTATCTATGTACATATATATATATATATATTGAACCAAGATAACTAGAGGCATTCCCACATGATTTACATTAATACAAGTTCTCTGCAATGTGCATTCTAAAGTCTGCTAGAAAGCTTATGTAATAACAAAGTCTTCCCACGTACTTTATTCAGGGTTATTCTCCAGCGTGAGTTCCTYCATGTCTGTGAAAGGAAATGGAACGACACACAAGGTTTCTCTCAAACATGGAGTTCATTCATGGATTCCAATATAATGGAAAGAATGCAAGCCTTTTCCACATTGCTTACATGTATAGTGTTTGTCTCCYGTGTGAATTCTTTCATGTATTCCAAGATAATGGAAGAACTAATAGTGTTTCCACACTCATTTTATATACACATAGAGTTTGTCTCTATTTTGTGTTTTTCATGTCTAAGAACATGACTGCAGTGACTGTATTTTCCCCTACGTTGTTTATACACATAGGGTTTCTCATCAGGGTGTCTKTTTGTTTGTGAAAGGAAATGAAATATCTACGATTTCCCACTCTCCTTACATATAGGGTTTTGCTCCAACGTGAATTCTTTCATGCTTTTTAAGGGAACTGTAATAACCAAAGGCAGTTCCACATTTTTTACACATATACCGTTTCTCTCCAGTGTGAGCTTTTTCATGTATTCGAATGTAACTGGAAGAATTAAAGGTTTTCCCACATTCCTTACACACATAGGGTTTCTCACCAGTGTGAGTTCTTTCATGTATTTTAAGGGTACTTGAATCACTCAAGGCCTTCCCACACTGCCTACATATATAGGGTTTCTCTCCACTGTGAGTTCTTTCATGCCTGTAAAAGGACCTAGTATGGGTGAAAGCCTTCCCACAATCCTTACATACATAGGGTTTCTCTCCAGTGTGAGTTCTTTCATGTATTGTAAGGGAACTTGAATCACTTAAGGCCTTCCCACATTGCTTACATATGTAAGGTTTCTCTCCAGTGTGAGTTCTTTCATGTCTGTGAACAGACCTGGAACGAGTAAAGGCTTTCCCACAATCCTTGCATACATAGGGTTTCTCTCCAGTGTGAATTCTTTCATGTATTTGAAGGGAACTGGGAAGACTGAAGACTCTTCCACATTGTCTACATTCATGATATCTGCCCTCAATGTGAGTTCCTTCAAATTCCTCAAAGAACTGGGGAGAACTGAAGGCTCTTCCACATTCATTATATTTATATGGGTTCTCCCCATACTCTGGATAATCATAYGGTTTCTGTTCAATGTGAGCTCTGAGGGGCACATTGAGGACTTCTCCACACACCGGGCTTTCACTTGATTTTACTCCAGGAGGAATTATCTTGTTTTCAAGAYAATCAGGTTTACAGCTGCCGCTTTCTCCACACTGATTACTTTCTTTATGTTCACAGCATCTCCCTTCCTCTTGACTTCTGGAAGAAATGAGAAGCACATTACTAAGATTTTCCTTCTTCATGACTTACCAGAAGCACTCTTTTATGCCCTGTAAGAATTTTTTAATATGAATGGACTGAATGCTCTACTGGATGGTTTGAACACCAATATTATCAAAGTAGTTGTATTATTATGGAGTATCTTAATACTGTTTTCAAGAAAACTGTTTTGGCAAACACTGAATGTCTATATCACCTTTAAATGCAATCAAGTATTCTTTATGGAAAATCCTGTGGATCAAAAATGTTTGGATCTTCAAATATTTTCATGTACATAGTAAGATATCTTGAGGATGGGTCATAATGGAACACAAAGTTCACTTTTGTATCACAGCACCTAAACAGCCTTAAGGTAATTTCACATGATATGTTTAAATGATTTTAGGTATGTTATAAAGCTTGTGCACAATGAACCCCCAAGAACATGTCATATCAGGCATCATGTTGGAACATTTTGGATTTTAAATTTCCAGATTACAGACCTCAATGCATGTTGGGAGAAAATTTTGTGAGACAAAATCAATTTGAAGCTGGGCTTATTAGTATCATTTGCTTGTTTTTAAAACTTCTTGTCACTCCCAGATTCTTGAGGGACATTGATTTCTCCTTTCAGTGCTCATTACCTTATTTCTCTTCTGGGATTCTGGTGCACATCTTCAGTGGTCTGACCTCCTCTTTCTTTTTCTAAAATACAGACCCAGAAAAATCAGTATCCATTTTTTAAACACTGATGAACAATTATTTGATTCTAGCTAGGTTGATAGCATAATTTGACCAAACCTATATATTCACCCAAATGTTCTTTTTCATATTCCATATAATGGAGCAGAACTAATGAGCAAGAAAACACTTGTTCTGTGAATGACTAAGGAGGGAACAGTGTCACACTTACTTATAGAGGCCAGGTTCTTGAAGGTATCYCACATCACATCTCTGTAGAGCTGCTTCTGGGAAGGATCCAACAAAGTCCACTCTCCCAGGGTGAAGGTCACAACAACATCCTCAAAGGTCACTGAATCCTAAAAAAACATCCCATATTATTTCCAAGAGGAAGGGTACGACTTCATACTGGAGATTGCAGTTCACTTCATAGAGTTGACATGAGGCTGAGTTCATTCCATGTTTGGTCACCACACTCTTCTCCATCCACAGTCACATCCTCACTCAACAATTCTGAGGCTAACCCACAACTATGTGTTAACACAACAGCAGAACAGGAACACACATTAGCCTCCCGGCTCACCCCAACTTCTTTGGTAAACCTGATCTGTACCTCTTATAACAAAGTTCTACCACTTGGTGTGCACAAGAGAGTTAACACAAGCTTTCCCAAGACTGCAAGTTCTTAGAAATGCTTAAGAACAAAGTCCAACCTTTATCAGTATCTAGGAATTGCTTCTACTATCAATCTCAACAATGCAACTGTAAAGAGGGTTTAAGTGTACCCAAACAGTATATGCCAATGATCTTAGAATGGGGTATGTATCACCAACACACATCAGTAAAATTGAATAATTCCCCAAACACACCTTTGACAAGATGTCAAAAACTACTTTCCCCACTAGTAGGTGTAATAAATGCTTAAAATGTATAATGAGGGGCTGGGGATGTGGCTCAAGCGGTAGCGCGCTCGCCTGGCATGCGTGCGACCCGGGTTCGATCCTCAGCACCACATAACAACAAAGATGTTGTGTCCGCCGAGAACTAAAAAATAAATATTAAAAAAAAAATTCTCTCTCTCTCTCTCTCTCCTCTCTCACTCTCTCTTTAAAAAAAAATGTATAATGATTAAAATCATTGGAACTAGAAAGTGATAGTTTTCCCTAATATTGATTAAAAAAAAACCTTTTAAACTATGCTATTCAGCACCCTTTACAACTTTTTAACGTTTAGGGGGGTAGTACTATGTACTGAACACACAGGAACTCTACCACTAACCAACATCACCATCCCTTTCTTCAAATTTTTAGGGACAAGATCTTGCTAAGGTACCCAGGATGTCTTCCAATTTATAATCCCCTTGCCTCAGCCTCCCAAGCAACTGGGATTAGAGATGTGCACAACCACTCCCAGCAGGACACTATGCTTATTATGTAGTGAGCCAGTTTTTTGTTTATGTGTCCATTAAATACTGTTTTCCTTATTTAAAATGTAATTGCATAATGTTTTTCAGGGTACAATACAATGATCTTAACTATAGTCAACAGAATGTAATTACAATTAAGTGTTCTAAAACAAAAACACTAGATATATAAAGTAATATATCTGTCAAAGATCTCAATTTAGCCACTTGACAAGGTATACATGTTTGAAAGCATTGTTTCAAATTATAATTGTACGCAATCTTTTTTCAATAAAAAAGTGTGTAAATATTTGAAAAATAAGATCAATATAAAGACGAAGACTAAATAAATTTATCTAGAATGATACACCATTCTAGCATTGATATAAGAAACCATCTAGAAGATATAGAGACTAATTAAGCTGTATCTGATAACAAAATAATAAAGAACAAGGGGATTAAATGTAAAGCAGTCCATTTTCCAAGAAACCACAATCTTTAATATGTATTCCCCTAAAAAATGCATCAAGGGGCTGGGGATGTGGCTCAAGCGGTAGCGCACTTGCCTGGCTTGCGTGTGGCCTGGGTTTTATCCTCAGCACCACATACACACAAAGATGTTGTGTCCGCCAAAAACTAAAATATTAAAAAAAATGCATCAAACATGAGGCAAAAGCATGGAACTGAAAGGAAAATCATAGATCAACCATATCTTGAGATTTAACACAAACATGTCTGGAGAGTTCAACAGTAATTGACAAATTAAGAAGACAGAAAATTACTAATGGTATATTTGAAATCAACAGCATGATTTCTGTAGTTATTGGATATGGCAGAATGCTTTATCTAATAATGGCCAAGCACACATTCTTTTCATTATTTTTTCCAGTGCTAGGTAGGGATCAAACCCAAGTGCCGCGACCAGTGCGGCCAAACTATCAGGTTCCGGAGAGGAGCAATGGGAGATTGGAAGAAATAAGAGTCAACACTGGCAGATCTTGAAGATAAAACAGCTGGGGTCGGACTGAGCACTGTTCTCTGATGGAAAAGCAAGTCTAAAGAATCACACCAGCAATCTTTATTATATGTCTCTAAATTAGATTAAAGACTATGCAAGCATTATTCTTTGTATTCATGAAAGCTACAGAGTTAGCCACAGAATGCAGCTATTTCCTCAGTTACATTCTTCAGTTGCAAATGTGCAATGTTAGGAGCATTGTGCAGCTCTCAAGAAAGTCCATTGTTTAAAGTTACTAATTCAACAGCAGATTCAGGAATTTTATAAACAATTACCATACTCATCAATTTTATCACTTGTATGAAATCTATCAATTCCTAGAAAGAAGCAATCTACAAAAACTCTCACAGAAAGCCAGGCATGGTGGCGCAAGCCTGTAATCCCAGTGGCTTGGGAGGCTGACACAGGAGGATTGGGAGTTCAAAGCCAATCTCAGCAATAGCGAGGCACTAAGCAACTCAGTGAGACCCTGTCTCTTAATAAAATACAAAATAGGGCTGGGGATGTGCCCCTGAATTCAATCCCCAGTACAAAACAAAAACAAAAAACATCAATGTAAATAAGACTATATGTAGTCAAGAAATTAAAACAATAATAGGAAGGACCAGGCTCACATGGTCTCACTGCTTTGTTTTGACTAATATTTAATGAAAATCATCTACAATCTTTTCCCAGTAATAGAAGCAGAGGTTAATAATCTATGCCATGATGTTCATATTGCCATATCAAAACTAGAGATGTTAGAAAAAAACAAAACCCACAAACATCTCTTATTTGATGAAAAAATCCTCACTGAATATCAATTACATCCTTCAATTCATAAGCAGAATTATATGCCAAAACTAAGTGGGATCTATTATAAACATAAAAGAACTTAAAAATCCATTAATGTAATCAGCCACCTCAAAAACCTAAATGACAAAATTCCAAAAATCAATAGATGAAGAGAAACAAAGGGCAAGAAATAATAATAAAAGGCCTAGAGTTGGGATTGGACATGCTAGCCTGTAATCACAGTTACTCAAGAAGCTGAGGCAAGTTCAAGGCCATACTGAATAACTAAACCTGTCTCAAAATGAAATTTAAAAACAAAGGCTGGAGTCAGGTGTGGCGGTGCAAGCCTGAAATCCCAGCTATTTGGGAGGCTGATGCAGGAGGATCAAGAAGCCAGCCTGAGCAACTCTGTGAGACCTTGTTGCAAAATAAAAAAGGTTTGGGGATGCAGCTCAGTGCTAAAGCAACTGTCTAGAATACACAAGGCCCAGGGTTCAATTTTGTTATGTCATTAAAGAATTCAGACATTGCCTAATATGGACTCCTGATAAATAAGGAAAGACACTCCTACTGCCCAGGAACTTTCAAGGATTTTAGTTGTCTGTATCAGAATGTGGGACAAAAACAAAATTATTTTTTATTCTACACACCCAAATAAACTCTCAAATTCATAAACATTTTCTCCAAGGTTTCTTTCCATCAGATTGCCCCACCTAGACTTTCTCAATCAGCACAAATTACATTCTGATTAGACCAACTCTCTGGATGCAAAAGCAAACACCCGATTATAAATTTTACCCAAACACTGTAATCATGGTAAATGGTGGCGATTAAAGAATCCCTATCTTATATTTCCTTGTTGTGTTGGAAAAACAGTGCAAAGAAACACTGTTCTCATTACACCAAAATGATGTCCTTTACCCTTTTTGAATCTACAAGGGCAGAACACACTTTCCAAAAACCCCACTTTTTGCCTCAAAAAATTATTAGTTGAAATGATCAGTAGAAACAAAACAGTTAACTGAAACTTCCTTATATTTCTCTTCTTCTTCAAGACCTCTGAACTTTGAGTCAGCCTGAACCAGAACACAATCTCTACATTACTGTCATCCTAAGAAGGGGCTGACCTCAGGGGCAAACGCTCTCATATCTAGGATCTGATGTTGCCACCCTCCACACCCCGACCTCTCCTCCATTGCCTAGTCCTTCAGATGCTTCCAGACCTCAACAGTTGAGGCTTTCCTCCTATTGCAACACTCTTTTCAAATGATGGCATGTCCTACCTCAACCAGCATTTTATTTTTTAAAAAGAATGTCTAGAGACAATCCAGGGAAAATAACGATTACATCACAGAGGGCAACACCCTTCACTCCCACCAACCAATGTGCATGTGGATCCTCCTTACCAATGAGTTTGGCAATCTTTGTCAGCCCCAAGAAGCACGGGGCTGAGGGGACAGGTCGCGTATTTGAGACCCTGCTTCCCAAGCATTTAGAAGATGTGAGGAAAGCAGGACTACCCGGAGGAGAAAGGAGGTTCTGGGGACCCCACAACAAATCCTTCCAAGCTCGAACCCCACATACGAGTGGGAGTCTCCCCGTGACCTTCCCACGGTCACCGCAGCGTATGGGGAGACGCGGGGCTGCGGACATCGAGCTGCTCGGACAAGACTCCAGGCCCCAGCGGCGGTGAGTGGACGGGACGAGACGCCGCCGTCCCTAGGCGGCCCAGCCCCACCGCGCTGGCTGGAGGGGAAGGAGCGGAGCAGGCCGCTGCAGACTCGGGCGGCGGCCGGGAGGCCTGGGAGGCCTGGGTCACCCCAGCTGCCTCCGGTCGTTTCCAAGGAGACCCTGCTCCCCTCCGGCAGACACCCGCCCTACAACACTCACCATTTTGTGATGGCCGGCTCCCGCGTCCTCCCTAAGCAGCCCACCCGGCAGGAATCTGCGGACGTAACGGAGCCGCAGCCGTTCCTGGACCCGGGGCCTCCTCCGACTGCTAACCCAAGATACCGACTATGGCGGCTCCAGAAAGTAAGATCGCGAGAAGTATGGGTCACCGCCTCTCCCCAACCGTGCTTCTGATTGGACAGTTCACAAAACCCCGCCCACACGACTCTGATCGACTAGTGGATCCGCCCCTGAGGACCCGCCCCTGAGCCCTG